CGCACATCCCCCACCATGGCGATCTCGATCTAAGCGCATTGGGGACTGATAGTGAAGAAAGTTAATATCCCTATCTAAAATACTATGATCAAGCCAAGTCTCAGTTAGACACAAAAACACAGGACAAGCAAGAAACAAATAGGTACTAACAACATCCCTCTGTGGAAGTAGACTTCTTATATTCATAAATGTAAATATTTCACCAGCAAGCACGTTTCCTTTAACCCTACTTATGGAAGAAAGAAAATAGCCACTCTACCACCACCAAAACAGGACCTAACACATACTAGTATATAAATAGCGTTGGACAGAATAGATAAAGGATAAGAGAAAAAAGAGAATGAGAAGAAATGGTCAAAAAGAAAAATGATCGCGAATAATCGAAGGGTCATGACGAGATCATCCGAATAGCACAGTTACTTGATTGATCATAAGCATTGTCAATGTCCACCATAGACTGAAATCTTCTATATTTACCTTTTTCAATAAATAGATGAACGTTACCGTTTCGTGTAAATACTCTCTTTTTATCTAGCTTTTGTTTTGCATAAAAATACAATTGATTGTTGTACGATGTTAGATGTTCGTTAACAAAAATATTTTTGAATTTTTCGTGTCGCCCAAGTTGTTTGCGTGATAGATAGAATTTATTACGATCAGTAATACACACAAAACTTACAATAATTGTTGACTTTAATTTATCACCTGTTCTTTTTGCTGGCAAACGATGAATTGCATTGAAGTTGTTTCTGTTTAGTTTAGTACCTAAGGCATTTCCTAATTCCATTACTGTTGTATATAAGTTTTCGTCGTTTTTCACTGGAATACCGTAAATAAGCAGATCTTTACGTTTACCATACTGTTTCAAATCATTTAGGTGGGATGACACTTTTTCCAATTCGGATTTCGTTCTATCTAATTCGACAGTTAATTCAATAATTTGCTCTTGCTGTTGTTTACAAGCGGATGCAACTATAGTTTCAATCGCTTCAAGAAATACGTCAGAATTGACCAAGGAATTACATAATTGTTCGATGAATACAGGAGTAGAGAACGTATCTTTTATAATTTGCTATTCTATTTTTTTCCGATCAAAAACATGTCGATAAGAATCAAAACGAAAAGAAAGGAATAGGAAAATGAAACTTATTATAACGAAAGAGAAGGAAAGACCTAATGTCAGTGATACGAAATGAATTCTTTTTTTTCTTCTTTTCTTCCACTCTTAACGACATGTTTTTAAGAACAGCCAAATAATAACGACATATTCTCGATAAATTTATTGTCTGCGTCATGTTCATAAACATTACAAATTATCACAATCTTATTCGTAAATGTAAAGAATTTTAGCTATATGTTATACTACACAAAATATTTTTGTTTATAAAATTATTTTACCAGTTCATATTTTGTTCAGAAAAATTATAGTGTCGGCATTGTCGGGTGTTAAACGTGATCTACGATCAGATGTTATCAGGCCAGCAGTTGAAAAAATTCTTTCTGATGGTGCAGACGATGATTGAATTGATAAATATTTACGTGCAAGTTACACTGCAAGTTACTGGAAGTAACACTGGATATTTGATCTGTTTTGATTTCCACCATTCTAAGGATGACGAACTTTTTGGTATTTGTTCTTCTTTTGAATATAATTCAAATTCATTCATCGCACGAGATTGACTTTGTGCTTGATTCGAATGTCCGCCATTAACCATGAAATCAAAAAGATCTGTTTCCTTGTGATCATTAGAATCTGATGTTATTCTATATGGTTGTGTTGTTACTGTAGATTGTGTATTTACTAAATCATATTGTTGTTTTAATAAATTATATGCTTCTTGTTTTGAAGTAAATGTTCCCATTTTATCA